GCCCGCTGCCTCAGACACCTGCTGCCTCAGAACACGACACAGGTGGCTGGCAGGCAGGCAGAGGTGCCTAGCACAGGAGAGGGCACAAGGGACCCCTGCCACTTGCTATGCAATGTGGCCCACACATGTGTAGACACCTTTCTCAGTCTTAGGATGCTGCACACACATGTACTCGGGCCAGAAAAAGGGGGATGAGGCACACGGCAGGCAGAGCCCCATGCACTCACCGGCAGGAAGAGAGAGAGATCAACAGAAGCCAGAGATGGGAAGTCACTAAAGAAATGATAAAGCCCTTAGAGCCAAAGGTAAGAGAGAGATGTCTCAGTAAGGAATAAAGTGCACCTACAGAGGAGCCCAGACTAGTGATGAGATTGAGAGAGAGCATGGACGGGGACAATATGGGACCATAGGCAAGAGAATTCCATATTAAGAAAGAAAAAAAAGACAGAAAACAATGTTCAAAAAAGTGCTAGTGTGCATATGTGGGGGTGTGTGTGTGTGCAGGGAATAGAAGAACGTCAATAAACATTTTAGCATTGTAAACAAAAATTTGTAGACTATCCCTTTGTCACCAATACTTTCTTGGCTGTTGCCTACCTTCTCCTTGGGGTCCTTGTGAGCTTTGCAAAGCTGAGGGGCAGTAGAGAAATGACCCAGGAGATGCTTTCCCCCAGGCCAGGGATGGGAAGCAACAAGACAGATCAAAAGAATGGGAGGAAAGTAGAGGAAGAAAAGAGCAAAGAACAAAAAGAAGGCAGACCAGGCTATCTGCCCTTCTTCCTTTGCTTCTTGGCAAGTTTTATTCTAGGCGCTGTCAAACCTCTGTAGGCAAAACTTACTTCTGGACTCCTTGTCAACTATCCATCTGACCCCTGGTACAACTTTAAGATAAACATTGGGATCCAGTTGGGAATTACTGGTCAGCCAGTTCAATGAAAGCCCTGGCTGCCCTCCTACCTCATTGCTTTTCCCGGCTACTTTCTCCCAGTGCCTCAGTTTCTTCCACTTTATCAGTGATGAGGATGGTGGAGGAAGACACGTACACTGAAACAGGGAAAAGAGAAACGAATTTCACAATCTCCAGATTTGACTCTTTCCTCTTTATTCTAAAAATCTGTCCTATTTATCCCCAAATTAATTTCTCAAGTCAGACGATTTTACAAGCAGGCAACTGGGGGAGGGGAAAAGGGAAAGAGTAGAGATAAAATTTACAACAATTATAAAACCCTGCAAAGGCTGGGCGAAGGAGAGAATCAAACATGGACTCCTTTGAAAAAACTCAATCATCGTATCTATTCATATCTCTCCCCCAAAAGTCACTAGGATTTCTGTCACTTTTTTTTAAGAAAGAAGAAAAAAAAATCCAGTACTGCTTCTCATTTAAAAGATACGTACACAATTAAATGCATTTTGACTTCAATGAGGTATGTAGAGAGTTATATATAAACATATATTTCATCTTTTTCCTTTTCAATGCCTGAAGGGAAAGAAAAAAAAAAAACCTTCACATCAAACCACTCCCTTCTGAAGTATTCAGAAAAAAAAAAAAAAAGGCTTTTCTTTAGAGAAGGGAGGTGGGGGGAGGAACAAGACTAGTAAAGAAAAGAAAAATTCAATCTAGTTGGACTAGTATCTAACTAGTTAACCTTTAACAATTTATGCTGATGTCAGACTGAGCATGAGTACTGATTAATGCCCCCCCCCAAATATTTTTATAAGGGGGGAGTTAAGTCACAGCAGCCATTTTTGTTTTATGCAGAAATCCTTCATGCCCCCCAACACACACACACACACACACACACACACACACACTCCCTCTCTCTCAATACACAAGGAAAATGTATTAATCTGTGCACTAATCAGTTATGAAAAAAGGGAGAAATTAGTGGGTTTCTGAGTAGAAGCTTGGAGATGAGATGTAACAGAGAGAAGGGGGGTGTATGAAAAATGAAATATTAAGCCAGCCATTTTGTTTTAAAAGGGGATTTTACCCCCCCCCCCCCCTTTTTTTTTTTGGGGGGGGGGGGGGGGGGGGGGGGGGGGGGGGTGTGGT